TGTCTGTAAAGATTTGGAAGCTTAACCAATAAGCTATAGGGTCTAAACCTTTAAAAATCAATATTATATATATTACTATATTAAAAAAACTTTATAAAATAGAAATTATATAATATTTAGTATATAATATATCTTTATTTAAACTTAAAAAATAGAGGTTAAAATTTGAAATAAATACAGTATATTAAAATAGATTTCTAAAAATCTTAGTATACAAAAATATATACTATATAATTTAAGAGATATTTTTATATCAAAATTTTATTAATTTTATATTTGAGTTTAATTTTTTTTATATTAAATCAAGTAGTATATGCTATATATTGCATATGCTAGTATATAGTATATGTATATTAACTATTCTAAATACAATATAAATTTTAATATAAAATATAAATTATTTTAAAAAACTATTCTATATACAGTATATACGTTTATATTTTTTCACCGGATATTTTAGAAATTTTCAATGAGGATACTTTACGCAGTGTTGTATATTTTGAATAAGGCCTTGTTCAGTCCTATGCTATTCTGAACGTCCCTGAAAAGCTATACGTAACAAAATTAAATTTTAAGCATTTTAAGAGCCGAAAAAGGATATCTTAATAAAATTTTGAGTATTACATAATTTTTTTAAAAAAACTCAAAGTTGTTTCAATTTAGATGATTACACATTGAAATTGCCAAGACTTTTAGGACATAGAAACTGAATACGCTAATATAAATGGGTATCTTTTAAATAACATGTAAAAATAAGTTTTGGCTAACATTAAAGTCAAGGATATGAGACAAAAAAGAACATCTCATGTGCGTATAAACAATCAACAATCGTTTTGTTAAAAAAACTAAACTAAGTACGTACAGATTTTTTTAAGCAATCATATGAAATCACACGAGTACTCGATTTTCTCTACAGTATTTAAAAAGAAATTGGGTTTAAGCCTATCACAGTTATTGAACGATATTATGACGTTAATATCGTCATTTTATACGTATAATATATATATATATATTATATGTATAAAAAATATATATAAATTATAAGTATAAACTATATATATAAATTATAAGTATAAACTATATATATAAATTATAAGTATAAAATATATAACATATAGATGCATGTACATATCATAAAATTCTATGATGACACTTAAAGTGATCATGTGAACATTATTTTATACGTACGTAGGTATTTTTCAAAGTAATGATAACAGCGATGTAGACGCGTTTATTTAAACATCATTCAACATCATTCATTGAGTTTAGTTACTTTTTTCTTATAGTTTAACTGCGATAACGAATCATAAAATGATTACGCTTTTTTTAGCGTATAAGGGATAGAGCAATATGGATAAAATTATAAACAGGACCTTAGCGTTATCTTAGCGTTACTTTAGCCAGTCCAAAGGCATCCAAAGACGGATAAAATCCGGATATCGTTAAAACCGAATTACGTAAGATATTAGTAACCGGAAATGCAAGTAAAAATCTTGAACAAACAGATTATCCATTTGAGTACGTAAACGGAACTAAATTTATATTAACTATATAGTTGTAAATCACTATCGCATGGACCGAAAGGTGCGTACGTACGTACGTACGTATTGATTGACCTTATTATGCAATGATTACCGCCAACTCAAAAAGATGGAGTTTTTTTATAGTTGATCAGTGATGTAATTGAAGTAATTAAACTGCATACGTACAGTACCTAAAGTCCAATAAATCGTGTGAAAGCAAATCTTGCAGAAAGCATATACGTACGTACGTACGTACGTACGTCCAACTTTAAATGAAATGTAAAAAGCCGGATTGACGATTTCATTTTAATATACACATGAATTTGATTTAATACTAAGATTAAATCAAAAAGAGATATTAATTATATTAATTATATTAATTATATTAATTGTTATAATTATAATAAATCGGACATCAATCTTCCAACAGTTACGTATTATATGCCTTCGTAAGAAAGTCATATGACCAGAATGCACTATCACATCTAAATTTGGTTAATCAATTGTGGGGTATTTTCCGAGTCATCATAATTACCGTTTTTGATTTCTATGCATAACGCAATACCGATACCGCATAAGACATAGCATTTATTCAAGAAATTAAAAGCAAACTAATAATCAATTATTTAAATAGTTATAAATAGCAAGAAATAGTAACGATAAGGGTGAATGAACATGAAGAAGAAAGGATTGAAGAAGGTTGAACAACCGAAAAGAGCAGTGACGAAATCTCATTGGCGTATGGGTAAGGAGACAGAATATGGGCGTCTTTTCCGGGATATATTACGAAATATGTCATTAGATGATAATCAAAACATTTATTTGAATTTGGTTAGCTCGTGCAGCAAGAATAGCAAGAATAGCAAGAATAGCAAGAATAGCAAGAATGTATGCACATATACAATAATCCTTAAGCTTGTACATATTTATAATAGTGATTTAACAGATTTAAAAAAAGGATTATCGTTATACCTACGTACGTACCTAATTTTGAATTATATCCGATCACTAAGATATTAAAAGGGGTAGTTCTTTGAATCTGAAACTTTGCAATTTTTGCAATGGTGGGAAAAAAAAAAAACAAGAAAAAAAGGTCGAATCCGATCACGGTTTCTTTTCTTTTGGTTACATTGTTGTCATCTTTTAGGTATTTAAACGAAATGTCACAAAAATTGAAATGTACCTGAATAAAATACTTTTTTCTGATTTATATAATCTAATAAGTCTAATAAGTGAATTTTAGAATTTTTAAAATGGATAAAATTTTTAGGGAAATTTTTAGGGTTCAACCAATGTTCGTAACGCCGATAACTCCGAATACACGAAATTTGTGTAATGTTTAGATACCACATGATTGCCTTCTCCGATCAAAAAATATATAGATCCTTTATTTAAGTTAACTATATTACAGTATTACCATTCATATCAAGATACAATGACATGTTATCCGGATAAGCAGATAATCCGAAACCGGATCACCACGCGCTTGTGTGAAGAGTTAGTAAAAGAGTTAGTAAAGAGTTAGTGAAGAGTTAGTGGAGAGTTAGTGAAGAGTACGTGAATAGTTAGTGAAAGAGTTAGTGAATAGATAGTGAAGAGTTAGTGAAGAGTACGTGTGCTATTACAGTATTAACACGTTTATCAAATTACAAGGTTTTATATGCTTGATATAGTATAACAGATAATATATAATATGATATACGTACGTACTACGTATATCTGATACGTATACGTATATATATTATATATTATATATTAATATTATATACAGTATATTTCAAGATCTGGAAAGATTCTGACGGGAAATACAGATCACAATGGTCCCACCAATGATGTCTACATTCCTATTCTCGGATTCATGGATACGTCATGATTATCATGATGCGTCGTTTACCGAATGGTCGGCTCGCTTTCATTTAAGTAAAATCAATTAGCGCATCGTGTTTATTTGCTTATATGGCTTTGATTGTAACGATAATTGTCATTGGTGAAAACACATTTTGTATTAATATCAGAAATTACCATATCAGAATAATCAATTTATTTTAAAGTACCCAATGATTATCCTATTTGCGTACTCCATGTTTCAAGAAAATATTTCTATGTTTCGAAATAATTCAACTTTTAATGTCCAATCATGTGATCACATAAACAAAAATTATAAAAGATTGCGTAATTATTGTAAATAAAATAACGATAATGAAATATAAATCTGCAAGCAGCTTCTAGAATCAGATATTTTACATCAATGGATTATTGTTTTGACATGTGATGATAGCTCTTTATTATTTTGATTATTTTTGATTATTTTTGATTATTTTTGATTATTTTTGATTATTTTTTGTATGCTGTGGAAATCGGGGACGCAACGAAATAAAAATGTTTATGTTGATTATAAAAATGTTTATGTTGATTATAAAAATGTTCATGTTGATTATAAAAATGTTTATGTTGATTATAAAAATGTTTTTATGTTGATTATAAAAATGTTTATGTTGATTATAAAAATGTTTATGTTGATTATAAAAATGTTTATGTTGATTCGTTAAAAGATCCATTGTTTGAAATTAATAATCCATGAATCTTCTAGGACTTCAATGGATAGAGGATCTTTTTTAGTTGAGAGACGTTTTCTTGCGTTATCGCACATACAATGTCTTTTTATTCATTTCCTTATATGTTTCGTGCGTATATCCTGAATTTCTCTATTTAACCAATAAACGTCCCATATGTTGTCTGTGTAAGCATCATGTCTGATTTGAAACTTGAGAATGCAGGATTCGCTTTTGTTAAATGTATGCGCTTTTGGGTTACATTCCGATTCAGATCGTATTTTAAATTTATTTGCTAACTGTTAATTAACACATTCTTTTATTAATTCTAATTGGTTTTTACGTAATAAGTAAATCTTTTTTTTTTTTTAAAGAAAGAATGCAAGTATCATACGATAAAGTATCCCTCAAAACTTAACTATAGATTTGTATGTATGTGATTTGCTTTAATGATCAGAGATGATGCCGATGCTTTTGAGTGTATGACGTATTATGGATGTAAATTTTACCGTTTACGATTATACTTGATCCGAGGAATGATTGTGTGAATGAACCGATAGTGCTTGCTAAATCACATGACACGCATAAATAATCGGTGGTGTTTGTTATATCAGATATATCGGTATATTATAGATATTATAGAGGTGACGTAAGAAGGTGAATTATTACTAATTAAACTATTGATTATTGTGAAACATTTTTCAATTTCATTCAACCAATATCCTCCTTCATTACAGATCACAGTGTTTATAGCTTCCAAATTTCCCCATTTTCCGAATACAACTCTTTCCTATCCGTATGCTAGTCTCCATTGCGTGATTATCATTATACCAATGATCTTGATTACTTTAGAATAGTATGATGATGCGATCGGATATACTTTTAACTGTACGATCTGTAATATTTGTAATTAATATATTTGTAATCATTTTGTATATTTGCCCTTTCGACAAAGGTTGGAATTTATCCGTAAGGTCTTTGAGCTTTCCTCACTTGGATTTTCATCCAATTTCTTGCGAATATCTTGCGAATACGTCTTGAGAACAGCGCCACGCGCCATTTGACCACCTCCATTAACTAATCTAGCTCTTAACGCCTGTAGGTGATTTGAAATGATGCAAAGATTATTAATAATTGTTACGGATTATCGTGAAATCAGATTATCGTGAAATTTGGGGGTCTCGATTTGAAAATATAAGCCCTACCAAAATCCACCTATACTCTTTTATTAATAATTCTAACCCTAAATCCTAACTTAACTATAAAAAAAAAGCCTACAAAAAAGGCCCTAAAAAAGTTTAAAAATCGTACATAAAATAGATCCAAATTTCACGATAATCCGATTTCACGATAATCCGTGACAATAATTAATAATAATTAATAATAATAATACTATTATTATTATTATTATTATTATCTTGCATTGTATGGTTATATTCATGAAAATATTGTATGATATGGTGTATGGTTATGTTCATGAAAATTTTCTTGTATGTATATTCTACTATAAAATCAATAAATCATCCCCGGTTTCTATATTTTTGATTTTTTTGATACAATGGTTTTTTTTTAAACTTCATATTATTCTATTATATTACGTCACAGAATATAATTGACAAGTTAAAAGACCATCATCATACGAAAACGAAAAGTTAATATTATGCCATGGCATTTTAAAACAAACATCATAACTTGATAAATATTATTATATATATATATTTTTTATTATTATTATTTTTTTTTTTGGCACTAACTTCTTTTATGTATTATGAAGCAAAAAGGTCCTACTTTAAAACTCAAAGTTTGTCGTACGATTTCTTTTTATATTTATTATTGCGTCATAGTACTGAAATCATGAAAAATGCGCTATGCACTGCCATTCCCAAGTTTATATACACATATACATAATAAAAAAAATATATATATATACAATATAATCTCCTTTTAATAATTTGTCAAATAACTTGTCTTTGTCATCTACGTGATATTACTTATCATTTTATCAGTTTATATAATGGAATTAATGGTATACATATTGCATATCGACCTTGTTTAACATTCTTGGTTTGTATAAAAGGTGAAAAAGATTCAAACGCATTGTAAAACCCGATAAAAAAATAATATTTTCTGTTTTCTTTCCGAAAGTTAGAGTTTCGAAAGGAGCGAAGCATAATATAAAACGTGCGTGTTATTTTTATTATTTATTTATTTTTATTTTTAAATTTGAATCTTTCAAGACTTTTTGTTATACACACATATATATATATACACATATATATATATATATATGTATATATATATAATATGTATGTACATTTTTTTCATTTTCTTTTCTTTGGAATTTTGCTTTGGGGATTTTTTTTTTTTCCTTCAACTTTATAATATATGCAATTTTTATTTTTTATTCATTGTGTGAATAGGTGCAATAGGGAATAAGAAAAGGAGTTAACATTTACGAGAAAAATCAAAGTACTCTATAATTTTGAAAGTGTTGAGATTGATAAGCCACAATTTGAAAAATCGAACTAGCGTAATTTGAAAATATCGGTCACTTGTGAGGAAGAAACGTTGATTATTTATCTGAAGCAAGTGAACGAGACCATAAAAAGAAAAAAAAAAAAAAAAAACTGAATTTTTTTTTTTTTTACATTTTTTTTTTTTTTTTTTTTTTTTTTTTTTTCCTCTTTGTTTTTTTCTTTTTTTAACAAAAAAAGACCTGGTAATTATATTATAATAATAAAAGATAATCGGTGCTAGACCTTTATTGATGATGCTTCGTTATATTATAATGATTACTTTTCCTTTCATCACATTCGCATCGTGTTGAAACGGTATTTCCATTTCTACGTAATTACGGGTTTATCATCATCAATATCATCATCATTTTTTTTTAAATCAAGTTCATCGTTTCTAAGACTGATATTTCCCCCCATTTAACGACAGACGCAAGATTGTTCTTGGCACGGTTCAAAACGGGAAATTGCATTGTAAAAACATTTTTCAAGGTGATTACAGAAAAACGCAACAAAAAAAAAACCCCCCAAAAAAAAAAAAAAAAAAAAAGGGCAAAAAAAAAAAAAAAAAAATTTGATAATGAAATCAACAACAGACTTTACTCTCCAGATGCCTTCGCATACTCCGCATACTCCTTCCGTTCATCATAATCATCCAACTTCAATATCCCGA